TTGTTTTATTTTTTTTTTTTTTTTTTTTTTTTGGGGGGGGGGGGGGGGGGGGGTGGTGAGCTCAAAAGAACAATCTGTTTCTTTGCATGTCCAACCTAGAAGCACCTTATAATAAAACCCTTGAGCAAAAGCTCACAACAAAGTTAAGACAACTGAAACAAAGCTTGTCCGAGTCAGATAGTTATTTCACATGCCTTTTTCTACCACGGCTTTTGTATTTATCCATGTCTGACTTTCTGTTTCCAGTGCTTCACAATGGATGAAAGAAGATCCAAGGCTGTGACAGAGGCTTTTGTAAGGCTTTACAAGCAAGGCCTTATCTATAGGTGGGTTGTACTTTTGCCATATGTTGTCTTTATGTAATGCTTTTATTTATAACTACTAAATTGTAGGTTTTTCAAGATGCTGATTTCAAAGTTTCTGCTAAAAACATTGATAGAGATCATTGATTATTGGTTATATGAAGACAAACTTTAGTTAATGTGTTACTGGAATTTAGAAAAAATATAAGATATTGATAATTATTAACTAACTAACTAATTAATAGTTACACAAAGCAAATTTAGTCGTAAGAGTTAAGACTATGTCTTATATCTAGTTTACTGCATGATGTTACTCAGTCACGCACAAACATGTGTTAATGGCACACAATCCTACGGTAACTACCTGCCACATGGTGAATAGGTTTAAATGTGCTGATGGGATTCTGTATACTAAGCTCTGGGTTGCTCCTCAAGTTTTCTACTGACAACATGATTTATATTACAATTTGTTATTGTATAGGTCCATTATATGGATCTAAGTGGTTATTTGTGGAGATATTATTTTTTTTGTCATTGTTTCAGGGACCTTCGTTTAGTAAACTGGGATTGTGTGTTGCGAACTGCAATATCTGATATTGAGGTATGCAAGGCTTGTTCTTGGCTGTTTCAACTGTTGTATCAATATTGTTTGTGTAATGTCACTGCTTTCTGTGTGCAGGTGGATTATATTGATATAAAAGAAAGGAGTCTACTAAAGGTTCCAGGATATGACAAACCAGTGGAATTTGGAGTTTTAACAAAGTTTGCATACCCCTTGGAAGGGAACCTAGGTGAAATTGTTGTTGCCACAACTAGGATTGAAACTATGCTTGGTGACACTGCTATTGCCGTACATCCTAATGATAACAGATATAGCCATTTTCATGGAAAACATGCTATTCATCCATTTAATGGCAGAAAACTTCCTATAATTTGTGATGCCATTCTTGTTGATCCAAAGTTTGGGACAGGTGCTGTTAAGGTATTCTCTACATGTATGACTCAAAGTTCTGTTGAAGTTCTTTTTTAAGTGATATTATACATATTATGGTACTTTCTTTGTTCCACGCAGATTACACCTGCCCACGATCCAAATGATTTTGAGGTGGGAAAACGTCACAGCCTTGAGTTCATTAATGTTTTCACAGATGATGGGAAAATAAATTCCGATGGTGGCTCTGATTTTGTGGGCATGCCGCGGTTTAAAGCTCGAGAGGCAGTAACAGAAGCATTACAGAAGAAGGTATTGTTATAATATTATGTTTCATGAGAAATAACAAATGTTGGATGACAATACTTTTGTTGGAAAGTACACTTGTATTTTTGTGGAACCTGACTAATGATTGCTTCTCTGGTGACGAAAGGGATTATAATTTATATCGTTATTTTTAATATGCTGCGTATGATCTTCTTTTAGCTATCATTGCCTTATAAAGTCCTGCAAGGGTTAGTATCTTATACTAGTATTCATCTCTATCTTAGTAATAATTTGTCTCTGTGATGAAACACATAATTTTGGCTATTTACTGTTTCATTTGTTTTCTTCTTTTGTATAGGGCCTTTATAGAGGATCTGAGAACAATGAGATGCGCCTTGGTGTTTGTTCAAGAAGCAATGATGTTGTGGAGCCCATGATAAAGCCCCAATGGTATGTCAATTGCAATGATTTGGCAAATCAAGCTCTTCAAGCTGCTGTGGATGAGGAAAACAAAAGGCTAGAGATTGTTCCAAAACAATATTTGGCTGATTGGAAGAGGTACTTATATCTTCGTTTGCTTTTAGCAAATTCTTGTAATAAGCAATTGTAAAATTCATCCTGCAGAGCATTCCTCTGAAATGGTGAGTATTTAAAGTATATGAAAGGACTTCACCGAGACCCTTTAGCATCTCTAAATTTTGTGTAAATTAGTACACCATTTTCTTTGTAATGAATAGCAAGAAATGTTTTGAGATTGAGTTTGGCTGTGCTTGCCAGAGCTCTAGCTTAAGGCTAAACTGAGGCAGATGAAGTGTTGCAAAATACAATCCACTTAATTCATTGTCACTTTTTTCCTGCTGGAATATGTAGAAAATATCTCAAAATCATTATTGTACCTAAGAATTGTCTTGAGTATCTGAGATGATCTCTTAGAAGTGGTTTCCATGTTTCATGATTTGTTTTCTCTTTTAATAAGCTTAAGGGTCTAGTTTTAGCATAGGCACCTCTTTTGATTGAAGTTGTGGTGTTGGACATGTTTTCGACACCGACACCGACACCTCCCCGACACTTGTTTAACATATGTCAGACACTTCTTGATAGGTGTTCAATTGAAAAATTATTTTTTGTTGGCTTGGGGACTTCAGCCAACACTTCCATATAAATGGACACACTAATATTATTAAAAGAATATATTCATCTTTTAACTTTTTAGAGAAGTTAGCAAAAAACACAATCTAAAATATTAAAAAATATGCCTTAGTCCTTACCTTTTATTTTGCGAGGCATATTATTATAATAAAAGACTTCAAAACTTGGTTTAAAAAGGTGAATATACCATTAATTTAGATATTTTGTTATATTTCTCAAATTTCATTTCATTAGAGATTCTCTCTTTTACGGTGTCCCGATGTACATTTTAGATGTTAGCAGTGTTAGTGTGTTTGTCTTGTCGAGTGTTCGGGTTAGAGTACATGCTTCATAGATAGTATTTTGTAACACATACCCATATCTCAAATCTCAAGATTATATTCCATTATTTGAAGTTCTCTCTTTTCCTACTTCTCTACCTGAATTCTATAATTTCAACTCCTTCCAATTTTTACACAAGCAAGTATTGGAAAAACAAGGCAAATTTTTGGATGTTGTTATTGTAAATGGAATCAACGGTTAGATTTACATTACATTTATGGCACAATGTTGTGATTGGAACTTGGATAGTTGGCTTGATCTCTATATAATTCTCTTGTCATGTGACTTTATTGTTCTTATAAGCCTATGATATAATCATGTCTTACTCAAGGTAAAAAGCTTTACAGATGGCTAGAAAACATACGTGATTGGTGCATTTCACGACAGCTATGGTGGGGTCACCAGATACCTGCATGGTATGTCACTTTAGAGGATGACGTGCGGCGGGAATTTGGTGCTTATAATGATCATTGGGTAGTGGCAAGAACTGAAGAGGAAGCCCAAAAAGAGGCTAGCCAGAGGTATAACGGAAAGAAGTTTCATTTAAGCCAGGATCCTGATGTTCTTGATACATGGTTTTCTTCTGGTCTGTTCCCATTATCTGTGCTGGGATGGCCTGATGACACACAGGACCTGAAGACATTCTATCCAACTTCTGTTCTGGAAACTGGCCATGATATCCTCTTTTTCTGGGTTGCCCGTATGGTCATGTTGGGATTGAAGTTGGGTGGTGATGTGCCTTTTGGAAAGGTGAGGTTACTATCTCGTGCAGATCATTTTATGAGAACTTTATCCGTTTGGGCGTAATGAATTATGCATGTAGTACTTGCTCTCACATGTGAAGTATGAATTTGGTCGTGCATGCCCAAGATTTTTTTTATTCTTGTTTTTTGATAAAAGAAATTCATTAAGACAGAGGTAGATGCAAAAAGATACAAGAGATCCTATGGAAAAAAACAGAAAACAATTAAAACATAATTGAAGGAAAGCTAACAAAGCCCTGATGTATACCTTAAAAATTTTGATCAATGACCTTCTCATGAATGTACTAACAATCCTATGCAGATTTATTTGCATCCAATGATTCGTGATGCACACGGGCGTAAGATGTCCAAGTCCTTAGGGAATGTTATTGATCCTATTGAAGTGATAAATGGAGTATCACTGGAAGGTCTACATAAGAGGTTAGAGGCTGGTAACCTGGACCCCAAAGAACTAGCCACTGCTATAGAGGGTCAGAAGAAAGACTTTCCGAATGGTATTGATGAATGTGGTGCTGATGCTCTCCGTTTTGCACTGGTCTCATACACAGCTCAGGTGACAATCTCCTATCAATGTTTATATGTTCTTTCATCAATTTAGTCAACTTTTGTAATTTTATTGTGCTGTTTCCATTCATTTCAGTCTGACAAAATTAACCTAGATATTCAAAGGGTGGTTGGGTATCGTCAATGGTGTAACAAACTGTGGAATGCAGTTCGATTTGCTATGAGCAAGCTTGGGGATGATTATATTCCTCCTGCAAATTTGACTCCAGATGTTCTCCCTTTTAGCTGCCAGTGGATTCTGTCGGTGTTAAATAAAACCATATCCAAAACAGTAAAGGCTCTAGAATCATTTGAATTCTCACAAGCTACCACTGCTGTATATTCTTGGTGGCAGTATCAATTGTGTGATGTATTTATCGAAGTAATTAAGCCTTACTTTACTGGTAATGATCCTAAGTTTGCTTCCGAAAGACGCTTTGCACAAGATACTTTGTGGTTTTGTCTGGACAATGGCCTGCGATTGCTTCATCCTTTTATGCCTTTTGTTACGGAAGAATTATGGCAGCGCCTTCCTTCACCTAGGGAATGTAAGAGAGTAGAATCTATCATGATATGTGATTATCCATCAGCTATAGAGGTTAGTTTTGCTCTTCATAATATTGTGATACTCAGGCCTGTTGTCTGTTGAAAGTGTTCACCATGACTGTTACCTCTTATGTTTCTAATTTTTATGATGTGCTGTATTTAACATGTTTTGGCTATTCAATAATATGATTTTTTTTTTCCACAAGGGCTGGAATAATGATAGGGTGGAGAATGAGATGGACATTATTGAGTCTACTGTTAAGTCTCTCAGGTCACTGGCAAAAGAAAGACGAGACAGGTATGTGGAAGCAGCATTTTTTTTTTTACAAGTTGCAGGTTTTTTGCTGTTTTTGTTTAATGTCAGGAACCTCTATTCTTTGGGGGATAAATGATAAATTTTTCAAGTAAAATAAGAGTTGCATAAATGAGCAAAAGAAATCCTAAACCAAAGCATCAAAGTGAAGCAAATGAAACATGAAACATTTTTGGGAGACTATGACCTCTGCACAGTACCTTGTTTATTTGTTTCTGCCAAATGTTAACTTCTCAACTAATTAGATTGTTATTTAAACTAACATATTTGCTGATTCTAAATATGATGCTTATGTTGCTAGGCGACCGGCTTTTGGTCTCTGCCGAACAGAGGTGGTTAGAGAGATTATTAACAGCCACCAACTAGAGATTGTAACACTAGCTAATCTATCCTCTTTGACAGTAAGATTCACGCCTGCTTTATTGTGGTCTCTTCTCATGTTTCCTGTGTATTTTGTTTGGCTATTTTTCTCATAAATCGTATAACCCATTTTCAATTCACTTTATTGCCATATTTTTCACTTTTAATGATGGTTATATGATTCACAGGTAATCACCGAAAGTGATGCTGTTCCATCAGGATATGCTGATACTGTTGTAAATGAAAGCCTTTCTGTTTATCTAGAGCTTCAAGGAACTAATTCTGCGGAACTAGAAATGGGGAGGATCAAGAAGATAGATGAGCTGAAGAAGTATGTTTCTCCCCCTATTATTTTTTAGAATATATTTTAACATGACAAGTCTTAAGTATCATTGAAAAGGGTAACGAAGACCAAGAAAGACAATGGAGAATATTATTAAATGGGATCCTATGATGAGTAATATTCTTGAGAATTTGATTTTCAACTGTTGCAAGATCTATTTAACCAGCTTCACCTAGTGGGATAATATGTCTGTTAGTAAACTTTTCCAGAAGCACTTTAGGAGAGAAATAGGAAGGAAAAATGAAATTAGCTTCTTCATAAGCTAAAATTAGCTTTTATGCATAAGCTAATTTGTAGAAGCGTTTCTATTAGTTTCTTTAAAATCTTATTTTTAACCCATGTATGAGTTAGTTTTAGTTTATATAGAAACTTATTTTGATTTTCCTTTTCATTTTTCTCTCCTAGAAGTACTTTTGGAGAAAGCTTATCCAAACAGGTGCAATAAGATCATTGTTATTGTTTTAAGTCTTTAAAGTATCATAAGGTTACAAGTAACCTATGTCATTAGCATTTTGGCTAAAATATCAACTTGGTTGCAAAATATTTGAATACACCTGATTTCATTTTATTAAAGGCTTTATAGTGTTTTTAGCATAAAACTCTTTCCTGAATTAAAATAATTGAGTTTCTTTCTATTATGCAGGCAAATTGAAAGATTAGAGAAGATTATGAATGCTCCGGGTTATGAAGAGAAGGTTTTGCCAAATATTCGAGCAAAGAACGAGGAGAAGCTAGATTCCCTGAAGGAAAGATTATTGCTCGAGGAAACGGCTGGTCTGAATCTCTAGCTTCAAAGCATGAAATAAATTTATCAATTTTTTTTACATGCTTATATATTGGATCTTCACTCACAGTTCAGACATGTTATTTATATTTTTGGCCAAAAACTATATTGTTTATTATACTAAATATTCATTTTGCTAAATTAATACAAATTTTGGTTATCTTTTGTCACGGAATTTGGCTATTGTTTGTGGCCTGTGGGTTAGGAAAACCTCTCGTTACAAAAGAAACTTTGAAATTGATCTTTTATTCAAACAGAACCATTACAAGATTACACTGCTGAAGTTACTGTCCGTTGTGTTGTGAATCTGTTGATTTGTTTGTTCTTTATCTAGGTAGGTAGTATTAAATTTCTAATTTAAAAGTAAACATTGGTTGTTTGATTTATTCATACTGAAACTAATGCTTATACTTGATAAATACCTTGATAAAATAATAAATTGAAAAAAATAATCTATAGGCAGAAAATTATAATTTTAAAGCAACTGCGCTTTAGCTTATATAAATTAAAAGGATTTTGTAAGCTTGCTTTATGTTTTATAATTTGGGTTAAAAATAGCATACTGTTGAAAAACTTGTGATGGGATAATGCCAAATATATTCTATTTATTTTCTACTTTTCCACGCTCAAATTTGATAAAATTTGGAACGTAAAAGCTTAAGAATTTCTAAGTCAACTTTAAAAATTAAATTCTTGTTGCACGCAAAGTGAATATGTCTTGCTACCAAAAATAAGAATTCCATTTTAGAGATTTTTAACTTAATTTGACACGAACCAACCTTTGCTTATAACTTTGAGACAAGTTCAATTATTTAGATTTAGACCATGCACAAATAGAAATTTAAACGATCAACATCAATTGCACCAAAATTTTGGGGGTCCCGAGTTCAAAAATTGGCTACCCAAAATTTCCTTTGTTAATTTAGTCTTACGGTCGAAATAAGTGGCTGTAACAATGATAAACAAATGTTTAATTAGACCGTATATACATGTCCACAATGAAGAATACACAATTTTATCTAGATTATAAAACTTCAAAATGTTCATGTCTCTAATGGCTTGTGAGTACAGTTTACTATTTGCAGAAATTCTGATCCCTATCAATAAATTACTCGTCCTCCCATAACTAAACTTTTTGTAATTGCTTTTCTCAGTTTGTTGAAGGCCTGCACCAAAATTTTACATATCACCAATCATAAACACTAATAGGAGGAAAAATAAAATAAGAGAAAATAAAATCTTTTATGATCATTAACTTAGGTATAAGTTATAATAAGTTTTTTTTTTAGAAATTAAATGATTTTATCTTCTTAAAAACATGGTTTTAACTTATGTATAAATTAATGAGAAGTTTATTTATTTATTTTCTATCATATTCTTTTTATCAAGTGTTTGCAAAGAAACTTATACAACTAGACCATAAGTTGCTAGTAATTTTTTGGACATGTCTAGAAATTCTACATAAAAGATTACATATGCATAAGATATTATATACATCATATGTTTCACATGACATCAAAACAGAGTTGATTCCTCAAACTAACATCATTTGAAAAATGCATGGTTAATTTATTTCTATATTGTTTTCAAAGGAGAACTTTTGCCTTTATGTAATTTCATTATATTTTGCATTAGTGCAAACCAATAATCATTCACCACACAGACTACGTAGAAAAATTCATGGGAATCATCACCAACATACCCAGATATATAAATACAAAATTCCATACTAATTGTTCAAGATATATCTGTTTTCTCTTGGTTATATTGAGAGTCAATCAATACATCAAGGATTAAAATCACTTGTCCTATTTCACACCCTACCCCTTCCTTTCCCTCTAATTAAATGAGACACATGCTATAGAGAAGAAACTCACAAACCAAACATTCATTCATTGTTTCCAATATAACCACAAAAAAATTGTGCATACAAACATATTTTCATGAGTAATAATACATTTATAACAAAATTGTACAGCATTACTTATATGTTTCTCTCTTTTTAAAATTAATAAATATTTTTCTTCATAATAAATAAAGTGACAGAGAGATAAACACAGAAAGTGATGTTTTATAAGTTGTTGTACAATTTTTATTGTACATATATCATTACTCATCTCAGGATTAATTAACTTTACCTGATAGCAAACATCTTAACACTGCATTCAGGCCTCCTTCCATTATCCACATCCATCATGTTGATTTGATGACAAGATGCTAGAAAGGGAATGTTACTCATATCCAAATTCCCAACCTCAAAACCAATGTGTCCACCCACATACACATCAAACACAACCTCATTGGCATTCATGTCTGATTTGAAGTCCTCAGCGGCATACTTGTTAACGTCAGCATTTTCCATTTTCATTGTGATGTCCAAGTTGGTGTCATTCATTGGTCTTTGAAAGAAGCCACTTAGTTTGTTCTTCCCCAAGATCATATCCTCACTTCTCACATCAACATCAAGAGGACCATACAAAAGCTTGAGCCTGCCATTCGTGTTGGAGAACATCAATTCTAACCCTATAACTGCATTCATCTTTTGTGAGCCATCATCAACTTGAAACTTGGTTATGTAGAACTTTTTCACGTTAACTTTTGGCATCCCTGACTTGAGAAAGGCCAAGTAGGTTACACAAAGAAAGAGAAGTACTATGATGAAGAAGAACACAACAAGGCATGACCATGCACAACATGCAAACCAACGTGGGTGGTAACGTCCCTTGTCAAGGTGGTCAATGGAGGATTCAAAGTCGCCGGAGCTCGACCGCGTGTGGTGGTTGGAAGGCACGTCAAAGGGCACGTGCGGGCTCGGATTCTTCGTCACCACCAACGCAGCCGTCCCCGGTGCCTTCTCCATAGATTTGACCACCCTCTCAAGCTAAGGGAACGCACACACTTGTGTATGTCAAAATTTAACGTTAACTAGTTTAACATGGTTGACCTAGAAGATTGGTTATTTGTATGGTGGCTTTTTTTAACTTTAGGCTTTGGAGATTTTGTCACCACAAATGCCAAATCTATATATGGTAAATCTAGGTTGGTGGATAAACGAATATAGAGACAAGATAGGTTCCAAGAGGGGCATGCAGTTTCGCCTATCTAGCTCTAGTTGAAATGTAGTCAAATACTTAGTTAATATATTCATAGAATATTAATGTATCAATGTAATGCAAATAATTTAACTGATTAGGAGAGAGAAAGAGAGATTATTAGACAATTACAGTTGAGTAACCGACAGTATGTTACAAAGCAAGATGCCACATGAACAACCTTTAAATAGACAAGCAATGTTACTTGATGTTACATTAAACTAATTATATGTCAAATCTAAGGTTGTGTACAAAGGTTTTTTTTTCAATCTTAAATTAATAGACAATAAATGATTATTTATTTTACATAAAATTAAACATTTACTTATAATCTACCTTCACAATATCAATCTTTACAATGGATCAGGCATGTTTATTTCACTGAATTTTTTTTTTGAAATAGTACTTAGATCATTATGCCTTTTGTGCGGATCAAAACTTGATTAGGAATTTCACTAACGATGCAAAGTAAGCTCTACATTATGCACTAATTATAAACATCACTGTTTAGAAGGGAAGGAAGTGCAACAAATAAGAGCTAAACGGAATATATTGATTTTTAAGGCATTTATTGATGTACTGCCATGACCACCTAAAGAACAAGACACTAAATAGAGTTATTTTTTATGATTAATAATGATCCAAGTGTAATAATTTATACATAATTTTTATGTATCAATCTTTATTTATCATTAATAAATGTAATAAATAATGTGATAAAGGAAGACAAACACAAAAATTGTAAAAGTATTATTTCCTTTTTTTCATCAACATTACCTAGCCATGGCATGATAAGGTGATGGTGTTAAAGCAGGACAACAACTACAGGGGACAAAATGTGCTTGAATGAAGATCATTAATTGAATCATGATGTTAATACATAAGAATTCATGGAAAGCATCCTAGCTAGAGGAGAAAATAACTAAAGGAACAACATCCTGTGAGAAATATTGAACAATTGGACAGAAAAAGGTTTGAACACAGCTTGAGAAGCCTTGACCAAGCATGCACTCCTATATACCATTTTATTGTCACTTCCTGGTTAACCAAAAGGTAGTGTTAGTCTATGGAGTCTGAACATTTGAGTCCTTAGACTTGTTTTCTTCAGAAGAAGGCCGGTTCTCTGAGTCAGATAGCCGAATCTCTTCAATCATCCTCACTACATCATCCATGCTAGGTCTCATATCTGGCATCTTTGCCACACAGGCCATGGCAATTTGCAACATTTGCACCATTTCTTCCTCAATGTTTTGGTACCTCATGAGCTCCACATCAAAAACTTCAGCTGTCCACTCTTCCCTAACAACAGACTGCACCCATCTAGGGAGATCAACCATGTCATCACGTCCTGGAGATTGGAGAGGAGCCTTCCCTGTAAGCATTTCAAGGAGGAGGACACCAAAGCTATAAACATCAGATTTATGAGAGTGTTTTCGGGTTTCAATCACTTCCGGAGCACGATAACCTGCAGCTCTAGAAGGGGTAGCAGGAACATTCATAAGGGGAGCAAGGCCAAAATCAGAAATGCAGCCATCATGATCTTGGTTGAGGAGCACATTTGAGGACTTGATGTTTCCATGTGTGAATTTTGGACCACCAACAGAATGAATGTGAGCTAGTCCTTTGGCTGTTCCAAGGGATATTTTGATTCTGGAGTCCCAGTCTAATGGAGTTCTCCCACCTGTTCTACCACCTGGGATCAAATTGAGATTCAGTTTAAGCATTTTTAGTTGACTTCGGTAGATATTATAACAAAGACATTGCCTATGGAAAAAGGGTTTAATAGTAATGTACTCACAGTCTAATATTGACAATGTAAATCAGTTTTACACGGTTAATCATAAATAATAAATAATAAGTTTGTTGACTTTTACAATAATTATCTTAAAATTCATACAAACCGTGATTTATGATTGATAGACTGTGTAAAACATTTTACATTGACATGCATTACCATTAACAAGGACAATTACAACAAGGATTTCAAACATCCAAATGACCTATAAAAGAAAACAGGTTTTGTACCAAGAAAGAAAACAGGTTTGATTTTAGAGGATTTAACAGAAACTAAGGAAGAGAAATGCATACCATGCAAGAGTGTGTGTAGGTTGCCACTTGGGAGATAGTCATATACCAAAAGCTTTTCATCTTTTGAATAATAATAAGCACGAAGTGGCACAACATTTGAGTGTTGTCCAACTCTTCCCATGATCTCCATCTGCTGCTCAAAGTCCTTCTTGCCTACCACAACTTCCTTCAATCTTTTCACCACAACAGTCATTGACTCCTCCAGTATGGCCTTGTATGCAGTACCATAACTACCCTTTCCCAGAACTTCAGCTGAAGCTCTCAGCAAATCCTCAAGGTCAAAATTATAAGAACTCCCCTCAAAGAAAACCAGCTTGTTCTTCTCAGGCTCTTGAACCCCACTTCCAAACTCTTCTCTCGGCTTCTCGCCCCTACCACCACTCGTACCCTTCCCTTTACTTACATCGGAGCTTCTCTCATCATCCCCCTTCTTCAAACAGCAAATAACAATAACAAGAGCAACAAAGAACACCACCACTCCTCCTCCAACAGCAATGGCAATGATAGCTATCTTACTCAACTTGTTTCTCGAGCTTCGCCTTCCAGGAGATGGCGATGCAGGTGGAGTCACAGCTGGAGGTATCACAGAGCATGGCCTTAGAGGTGGTCCACATAAAAGAGAGTTTCCTTCAAAGGAAGAGTTAGGAAAAATCTGAAGAGCCTTAGGAATAGAGCCATTCAAGTGATTGTAGCTTAAGTTCAAAAGCCTGAGCTGAGTGACATTGAGATCAGGTATCTGTCCAGACAGTGAGTTGTTCTGGAGACTCAAACTAGTTAACTGTGACAAATTCTGAAATGTCTTCGGAAGAACACCAGTGAAGGAATTATACGACAAATCGAGTACAACGAGTAGGGATGACAACGAGGTAGGTATGTTACCAGAAAGGTTGTTATGCTGGAGGTAAAGATACTGAAGAGAAGGAAGAGAAGCAATGTCAGCAGGGAGATTTCCAGTGAGTAAATTGGAGCGAAGGCTAATGATCTTCACAGCATCAAGCTTTCCAAGTGTATTGGATGGAATGGAACCTACTAGTCCTACTCCAGGGAGCCGAACAGTGACAACACGAGTTCCATTCTGATTGCAAGTGATACCTATCCAAGAGGTGCATACTGAGGTGGATGGATTCCACATGAGGTTTCGCCGGTGAGGGACAGCATTAGCAAAATCAAGAAGGGCTTGCTTGTCTGAACTTAGATCAGCAATAGCCAAAGGAAAAAAGATTACTATGACAAAAAGTAAAGAAGTCACTGAAGTAGATTGAAACTTCATGGAGAGTTGTTTTCTGTAAGGAATGAGATATTGGCAATTGAATTTGGAGTAAACTTCACCAGCCTTCATATTTTCCTGGATCAGTACCATAAATCAAAGTAAGAATCCAGCAGCATTTAGAAATAAACAAACCTAGGTTGTAGAACTGTGATGACAGCATTTCAGAAAATAACAGTTGAAACAGAACCATTCTTATTAATAAAATGCAAGCATGCTAATTGAGGAATAAATAGTCAATTGCAAGCCACATTTAAACTGTTGCCGGCTCTTTTTTGCTTACTTGTAAGATTTTCACCATCAAGAGAAAGAAAGTGGGGGAATACACTTTCTCCATGGATAAAAGAACATGAAATATTTAATGAAGCTCTAGTTTTACAGCTATGAAGGGATTTACTACACCAAAAGACCATTAAATACAAAATTAACAGAAAGTTCATTTCCAAGAGTTTATCACATTGAAACTTTTAAGTGTCTTCTGTAAACACTTAAATCCCCTAAAATAGCAGAAGCATACTGAAAAGGTTTAAGCATACTTCCTTTTAGCTTCATCTTTATAAAGTTACAACAGAACAAAAGCAACTTGAGCTGAGTAACTCGGAAGTTGTTATTTACATGACTCAAATAATAATCCCTGTGTATAGTATGTAAGGAGAAAAGCAACAGAATGAAAAAGGGGAATAAACAAGTTAGATGAAGTTGAACAAATTTGGATCTTCTTCAATCACCGGAGTGGAAAATATATCAAATGACAACTATTCCAAAAAGTATTCGATACAGTCAAAACAGTTACTTTAAGCATGTCTATATCTAAACCATAAAGCAATTACAAAGAATAAGCAAAAGTGTTGAAACAATGTTTGCTTTATGAAAATAACCAATTCCTCGTAATTTTGCAGACATGATGTTATACTAGACAACACAAAGCAAGACCAAGTTAGAAAGAGAATGAAGATTTTCTACTGTCACAAGAAAGATATGTGATTGATTCATGAGCAACGAAAAGAATTTCCAAGACTTTTGCAGAAGAGAGAGGAGAGTGAAGGAGAAACCAAGGAAAGGACAACATTCACTGTAAAATTAACTCTTAGGAGTAGGTAATTTTAGCTCTGTGGTAACATCATGAACTGTTTGATAACTGGAACTAACATTTCTGTAGTACTTTATATTATCCGAACACAATCTTCTCTCCTGTTTTCCCCCTTTTTGGCTTCCCAAGAAGAAAGAGACCGACTTGAATTCTACATTGAGAGAAATGACTAGACAAAGAACTCAAATTCTCTTCAAAAGCATACCCCATTTCATAGATTGTGAAGTGAATTACAAGATCAGAAACAAACAGTCGAAGCAGTTCAACTACTAAATTTACAAAAAAGTGAAAAGTAAAATAAATAAATAAATAAATAAATGCTCTAGTAACTTCAGATCCTAAACAAAAACCAAAACCAAGTGTTCTAAACATTAGAATTATCATCTAGAAGAAACCAAAACCTGCTCTAAAGCACATTCCAGTCCCCAATGTTGAGAAAAGAAAAAACACTCAAAGACCCCAGATCTGCATGCTAAATTAGAAGTACCACTGAATATGCAGAGAGAGAGAGAGAGGACAGACTTTCAAGTAAACAAAGTCACCTGAGAGAGTTGAGAAGCATGGTTTAGTCTCAGAATTCAGAAATGAAACAGCATATGAAGTAGCATTTTCTGAAACAGAAATACAAGTTGGTGGGGTGCTACAGCTTCAAATTCTCTAGTTTTTGTTAATAACAACTAGTTAGACTTTAGAGCATTCATATCACAATCTGGAAGTGGGTTTCACTGGGAAGAGCTTGCATAGCACTAAAAGCCCATAAAGGCATGGAATTTGGTTGAAATTAAGGAGCATTTTAAGGTAGAGTCAAGAGAGTATGATAGCACTAGCAGCAGCAGCAGCAACAAGGTACAGAAGACAGAAGCTTCACAAGAAAAAGGAATGAAGAAAGTGACTTGATTTTTTGTTTTTGCAAATTAATAAATAAACATAATAAATATGGAAAGAAGAAACAAAAAAGGAGTAAACAATAAAATTGACAGCACAGCAAGGCAATGAAGAATGGACACTAACAATAACACTAACCTCACAACTCAACCTTCTCTTTCTTGATCTGCCCCAGACCCAGAGAGAGAGAAAGAGAAAGGTTGAGACTTTCTTTATTTTTCATTTATTATTATTATTATAAGTGAAAGTGTGAAAGTATGAAAGTGTGTTTGATGGAGAAGAGAAGAGAGAGAAGACAATGCACACGTACTAATGTACTATGATTATCTGTCATGACTACTCCTTAAACGGCTAAGATGATAAAGTCTTCTGTTACTTCTATCACTTTTCTACGTTTTCGCCAAATTTTCAAATAAATAATTAAAATAGAAACTGCAGCATCAAAAAAGCAATTTTCTGACTTTCTGCTCGTTTTCTCCAACAAGAATGATTACTACTAACTAAACTTTTTTTTTTAGTACACTTTTTTTTATTATTATTCAAGATTTACTAGAAATACTAACTAATTTTCTAACTCATCTCTAATTTAAAGATTTTTTATTTTATAAATTTTGACTAATAATAAAATGTGTTAGAAAATATTTTTTTTACTTCTGTTGTAGATTAAATATAATTACATTAATTAGCTGAGTAAAAAAGCTACTTAAAATTTATTAATCTAATTTTAAAAAGTTAATTAAATATTTTTAATCTAACTTATCAAATTTTTTGAGCATCTATAATAAATTACATTTATTTTAACGATTTATTTTATTTTATTCATAAAAGTATAATAATGATAACAAAGTTTATATTTAGAATTACATATGTATTATCTTAATTTTGACTATTAGTCGATTTAAATTATTGTGGCAGTCATATTTTTTTAATTGTGATAGTTATACTTTAAATTAATTATTAACTTGATTTTTATTACTTTTTCTGTTTTTTATTTATAGTTTTTTTGGCTTTACTTTTTTTTAATTTTTTATTATTATTATTATTTTAAAATTAATGATTTATTAATTTTCTTTTTCATTTTTACTATTGATAAGTAATATATGTTTACTAAATAATATATTTATTCATTTTCAATATACTTATTTCTTCTCCAATCACTTAAAAAATATAAAAAGAAAATAAATAATAAATATTTTAAAAAACTAAATATTAATTATTTTTTTAATTCTTGTACATATACTTTAAATGTCAAATAAAAAAAAAGGGAGTACCTAACACAAATTATAAATCCAACATTTTATTGATAAAAAAGTCAAATTGGGAATAGCCAGTTTGGGAAACATGAAAAAGTCTTCGACTTAGCTTTCATTTTCATGTTCTTGTCTCTTCCTTTTCATCTTAACTACTATCAATTAATGGCTTTTGGCTGGTAACTAGAGGCTGTGAAAGCCTTTATTAGAATCCTAGATAGTAACAATTTATCACCAAATCACATGCATCAAGTCACCAACATATTGGACTTGCATTTATTATGTTATTTATTTATTTATTTATTTTCTACCCTTACCATGTTTTATGACAAACCATTCCCATTCATTTATTTCTCTACTTTACTTAGTTGTGTATGTTTAAGGAAAGTTGTGCTTGAGTGAATTGTTCGGAATAGTGTTATACTATATTACTTTATAAATTTTTTTTTTAAAAAGCAATAATTAACGTAGTAATTTTATATATAAAATAAAATAAGCAACTTTATTAACGATGAGTGCTTCCCCTTTTTCTTCGAAAGACATCATCCTCATTTTTTAGCCAAATTTAGTTTTGATTTAACAACCCAAAAAATTACTTGAAAGTTGAAACCAATTTGAAATCGAAGATAATAGATCAATGGTCACTTTAAATACTTCTAAGGAATTAGAGATAGAAGAATCCAAGTAGGGAATCTAGCTACTTATGACAAAGAAAATACACTATGCAATTATTGAGTTACACTTGTTATAGCTTTTGCATACATACATCTCTACAATGCTTCTTTCTCTATATCATTTATTTTGTATTAATTCAATACTCTACACTAACTTAAAAAATATATATTACAATGTCAAGCAATTAAAATTTATTTTATTATAACTTTTAATATAATTGTTATAAAAATCATTAAACTTATTATATTTATTTACCATTGAAAGATCATATTTACACTATTAGTAAACGAATTATTTATTTTTAACATAATATGTATGCCATACAATTGTACATTAATTAAATGGATGATTTTGTTAAACTAATGTTGGAAACATGCCAAAATTACTTACAAATTTTCTCTTCTTTTTTACTAAGATGACACATATCTAAAGTAACTAAAAATGTCACGATTCAGTCCACAGCATTGGACATTAGAACATCAAATCAAAACAAGTCAGCATCTTATTCATACTCTTAATTCGAAATTATACAATTGGTTCTATTCCTTACTTTGTCAGAACTGAAATAAGTCAATTGAATCTTCGTTGAAACTGAAATCACATATTAGAAATAGTTTGTTTGGCTCCCCCATGTCGCTTTACGTATTTAAAGAATAATTATGGAAAAAGAAAGAAAAACCTTTCAAAACTTTGAAATTACTACTGTCCATAATTTGTCCTTAGTTGTAGTGTACGGAATATTATAGACAAATAATAAAATATTATAGGAAATAATATATTATTGAGTCGTATACTAGCAAGTCTTTTATATATAAGGGGAAAAAAGAGAGTATTTTACTAGTTGTTCTTGTATATGTATATATGATGTATCCTATTATCGTGGGTCCCATCATAAATTAGGGCAAACAAATTTTGTTTCCTAACAAAAACTTTACGTCAACAATAGGCTTGTGGATTATATATATAATATATACAGCGAGTTTCTCAACTTTTATAATAGAAAAAAAAAACACAAAAAATTAGAAACTCTATTATTCAACACTATCACAAATAATCATTGATTCAATCCTGGATTCCATGAATAAAGTCAAAAGATTTTTTTAACCAGATCAATTAACACATTCTACCAAATCCATAATATATATATATATATATATATTAAAATATCTTTTATTATTTATCATATATATAGTCAGTTTAAAAATATTAAATTTTAACTGAATATAAAATTGATCATATTGAAAGAAAAATATATATTTTATATGTGTTCATGATTTTTAATAAAAATTAGTGACTTTTTTAAATGATGAAAATTTTGTCAATACGATTGTCATTAATTAAGATAATATATATATA